AAACAACTTCTATACAACGAAACGAAACTGCGAATATACAAAAGGCCACACCATCTTGGTCTTCATGCCTTCGATTAAGCTTGGAAACTGTTGGAAATCTTTGCCAGGTTACTATTGATTGTCTGCTGCGGCACCTCTTGATGATTTTCTCTAAAATTTGGGACTTAATTTCATTCATACTTTATTTGCTTTCCTAAGTAAAGGGGAATTCGCTCGTAAGTGATTGACTGAACTAAATGCTATCTTTCACCTTTCGTAAGTTATCCTTTATTTTTCATTTAAAATCTCTCATGCGAATTTTATTTCTCTCTATACCAAAGGGTGTAAAACACAATTTTGTCGGATTTTAGCCATTTTTATCTGGATTCCATCAGATACAGATTGATCAGATTAGTTCATCCTTTTTATTTCATTTTGTTAATATATTATGCTATCAAAAATTATGTTAATTTTTTTTCAAAGGAAGTATTCTGCCTTTTCATACTATTTTTTTAAGATCTCAAAGAAATTCCTTACTATCTACCGTCTATTTTCACCATGAAAGTAGACCTTGAGGCCCCAGACAGGACACGCAAGAGGGATAGAGAGGAATGCTCTTCAGGAAATGATAAAGAAAGTCGGAATACGGATCCGGTACATATCAAAAAGCACAAGATTTCTGCAAGATATTCATGGTCACTTCGTCTTGTCCACTGGCTTCTTGCCCGCAGTTATCTCGCTCATATTGTTTGTCTCTTTCTATTACTTGGTGAACGTGCGGATCGAGATGTAAATCCTCCCATTAATCCCGCCTTCATTTATGCTCAGGTACTTACCTTAATTTATTTCTGTTTCTTTTTGGATCGCGACTCATAAATACTTTTATTATACTTTACTTAGCATTGGTAGGGAATAGTTTACCTATTTATGTGTATTTAAACTGGCTTGGTATATCTAGGAGATTGCGAATTTATTACAATCCCATATAATGAAGAAGACTGAGTAAAAGAGAAAATGAATAGGAAAGGCTGAAACTAATCTAATCTAATACTAATTTAAATAGAACCGAATTGCTTATATACGTAAAACCTGAAAGAAGTGTTGTACAGGATATCCTTTTAAGCCCAGGATAGTTAATGTTCTCGGATGTTGATTGGAAACTGCTGATCAAAATAAAATAAGAAAGTGAGGGTCATTATTTGTTATAGTAAACCGTCAGTTGCTTTAACTTATAAGGACTACCGAAACTTCTGAAGCAACTATAGTTAACATAGAAGTGGGTTGACCTCGTTTTCATAAATTGGTCTTGTAAGTGTGGCGTAGTTGGACGAACCTTGTCCCAAGTCCTCTACCATAATAGTTATCATAATTCCAAAGTCCACGGTCTGACGCTGGACACCATCTTGGTTTTAATATCTTCGATATAATTGACGCAAAACACAAGTTTGCTTCGTCAACCGCTCCACTATAATTGTGATATTAGACAGTCCTGGCCTTTCTTGAAATTCACATTCTCACTATGTCTCATTTGGGCCTGTGGCAGTGTGGCGTAGTGATTATATGTTGAAAATATATGCTGCAGTACCTAGGCCCGATTCACTTTAGGGATACTGATTAGACCCAGGCCAAGTCTAAATAGCTCTCTGTGGATGAAAAAATTTTTCAAAATGTAATACTAAATGAATTGATGTCGATTAAACTATAGGAGTTATGAAGTCTATGATACTAAGGAGCCTGCATCTGGCAGATGTTAAGTATCGGGATCAGAAATTGAGGAGACTATGGAAAATTATGGTTGAGAATATTTATATAAGAGTAGGGTTATGAGACTGGATTACAAGTATTTTAGAATATTATCAAATAGGTTGGAGAAAAATACATATTTTGGACTAGATATAAAGTTATACCACTTTACTAGAATCCTTATACTGTCATTGTATAATCTGTCGAAGAAGATAGGTGTGAAATCGGGACCATTTATAAAGATAAAATAACACTTTCTTCGATATTATCTTCTTTTCGAGAATACTCTTATCCACTTTCCAGTTCAGGCTGTTACAAGATTTTGAGCTCATTCAGTAGGGCCTATGTGGGAGAAACCTTTAAGCCCATACATAACAGGTTATCTGAATACAAAACAGCCTACAAAGGTCTGTGTGTCCAAGAGTCAGGATTGGCTGGGCACAAAACTAGCACAGAATTGGTTAAAGAGGCGATAGAAATCAACAAAACAGCCAACACCATGAATAGAAGGAATGAATGTTGTAACTACATGTGGCTGTTGGATAGGAGTAGATTGGGGGGGAGCGAGAAATACCACAAATAAAGTGTAAGAGGCTTTGTTTAGGCTCGAATCTGGTTCTGATTTTGATATCATACTTATTTCAAGAGCAATGCATTCACACAGCACGCGTGCAATGGAACGCAATCATATGCGGTAACATTGTAGCAATTATGATATCTCTCCTATCCTGGGATATTCACATAGACTATATCCTCGTATCACCCCTTCAATAGCACAATTTCTTAGTCAAACATGGTTCTGGTGTGCCCTTTTGATAGGATTTCATGATACCCATTCACACCCCACTAGCCTTCTCCCCCCCCACCATTGTGCTGTGAATGCTGATCTGAGTCTGCCCTGTTAGCCCGCAATCCTCTCCCCCTATCAGATTTTCCCTCACATGTTCTACTCTGGGCGTTATTTCTCACACTCTGCCTCAAACCTTTGATGACACGTGTACTCCCACCTCACTGAGTAGCCCCCCAAAGTCTGGCCTCTCTAGTTCGATTGGAAACTAACTTGAGGCTATGGATCGACTCATCACTGTTCGACATGTACACCGAGTAATTTGTATGCTCAAACCTTTACTTCACGGACGTTTATGATCAGACACGTCTACTGTTAGCCAACGAGCTCTAGTCCCCCCAGCATCGTGCAAGTATATTACTTCATACGACCTAGTCTCTTGTTTATCAACCAGCAAATTCTGTGATTATACTTGCTTTGATTAGGCTCACTGTAGATGTCTCCTTTTGGTTTCCAATCTTTCATTTCTGATCTTGCTATTTATTTTCATAAAATTCAAAATATTACTTTGATTTAGTCGTCTTCTTTCTTGCTGATATTGCTGTTGCCTGATCTTCTTCGAGTTTGCTTAGGCATTATGCAAAGCTTTCTCTAATTATGCCTTCTTCAAGTCTTCTGTTAATCAGTCAGGATATCGATGGCCTCTTGGATCTTGCGTTTTCTCGTATTTTCACCATATGCAACCAGCCTTTCTGTCGTTTTCCAGTCGATTTCGTGTCCCGCCAGTGCAATGTGTTCCGTTATTTCGGATCTTTTCGTATCCATGTTTCTACAGAGTCCTTGATGTTCCTTGATTCGTAGGTTGCTTTTTCTTCCTGCTTCACCAATATATTTCTGATCACATTTTCAGCATTTAATGCAATAAACCCGAAATTGCATTGGCAAAATGCTTTCTCCTTTGTAATCACCTGGATACTCCTTTTCTTAGTAACGGTCGCAATTTTTGGCTCATTTCACAGGATGGTAGGCGTATTCACTTTTGGTCGTCCTCTCGACTTCTGATCTTATTTTCATAATATCCTGACTAAAATCTGCTCTTTACGACCTCCATATTTG